GGTAGAATCTGGAATAGAAAAACCAAATGGAACGGTAGAATCTGGAATAGAAAAACCAAATGGAACGGTAGAATCTGGAATAGAAAAACCAAATGGAACGGTAGAATCTGGAATAGAAAAACCAAATGAAACGGTAGAATCTGGAATAGAAAAACCAAATGGAATGGTAGGATCTGGAATAGAAAAACCAAATGGAACGGTAGAATCTGGAATAGAAAAACCAAATGGAACGGTAGAATCTGGAATAGAAAAACCAAATGGAACGGTAGAATCTGGAATAGAAAAACCAAGTGGAACGGTAGAATCTGGAATAGAAAAACCAAATGGAACGGTAGAATCTGGAATAGAAAAACCAAATAAAACGGTAGAATCTGGAATAGAAAAACCAAATGGAACGGTAGAATCTGGAATAGAAAAACCAAGTGGATTTAAAATTGAATGAGCCCTGCCTCCTTTTTCAGATGTCAACACATCAAAACTACTATCCCAAATTGTTGTATCAAAAACTTTAGTTACATTATCATTTTTTTCTTTTTAATAATCGTCTGGTACGTTATCAAAACTGTGATCAATCTTCTCAACATTCTAAAGATAATCTTCAAAAGTTTTGCTTTTCATCAATATTTTCTCACTATTCTTACCATATTCTCGAATAGTTAATCATATATCGGCCTTCATCACGAAAACAAATAATCACCTGCCTTTATACTTCTTTATATTAACTTCCTTTTGTTCATGTGCTGCTAGGTGGCGAAATCTCCGGAAGGCAATTTAACCCATTTCCCGTCATCCCATCGGGTTGAATCTTTGCTCAAAGTCTCGTTGCCGACGACAACACATTCTTTCAAATTTTCAGCCCCCATCAATGTTCCCTCTAAGGTTTGTTGGTTCGTGTGCAAAATCATTAAGTAGTGTACACATTTTTACAACATCAATTTTTTTTTTGTGCGCAAAATTGTACAGCCTACAGACACAAACACACACTTAAGTGGAAATTAGCTGCGCGGTACTTAAAACTGCTGCGCGGCGTCTGTGAGATTGCTGCGCAGCCGCGCAGTTTATAGGGAACATTGCTCACACCCCCAAAATTGTGTGGATTATGATATGTGCTTTGAGCTCGTTACTTATTGTCGGTTTAATATAGCGTTCGTCTTTTAGGGTTTACATTTACTAAGTTTGATTAAAAAACGTTCCTATACCAAAAAAATCAGTCGATGCAATCAGATAAATCATAAATCAAGAACCGGTACGGTTAAACTGCATATAATAGAATGTTTACGAAAAAAATTTGCTTTTAGAGGTTGTCTAATTATTTAGGTACTGAAGTAATATCATAGGTTTTGTGTATTGCTTTTCCCATCAATTTATAGAATAGGTTCTTCCATCTTTTCCCAAGCCTTATCTTCTCGTCTCCGTTTGAACTCATTTCTATCAGGTTCAATCTCTGTCAAGTTTGGACTATCTTCAGTAGAACTATCTAAACTACTGTAACTGTCTTCTGTAGAACTATCTAAACTTCTGTAACTGTCTTTAGTAGCACTGTCTAAACTACTGTAACTGTCTTCAGAAGCACTGTCTAAAACTGTAACTGTCTTCAGTAGCACTGTCTAAACTACTGTAACTGTCTTCAGAAGCACTGTCTAAAACTGTAACTGTCTTCAGTAGCACTGTCTAAACTACTACTACAACTGTTCTCAATAGAACTATGTAAACTACTAAAACTATCTTTACTAGAACTATCTAAACTACTCTTACAACTGTTCTCAATAGAACTTTCTAAACTTTAACTATCTTTAGTAGAATTATTACAATAACTGTCTTCAGTAGAACTATCTAAACTACGGCTATATCTATTCTCAGACGAACTATCTAAACTACTCCAAATTTTTCTTCATTATGAAAAGGTTTCATGCAATTAATACTAACTATCCCATCTACATATTTGTCGTCCATTTCAGGTTCTAAAAATCTATTTTATTCTTCTTTTTTTTCCTATTGCTATCTATCATAACTATTACAGACTACACCCTCTACCTCCCAACTAATAGACACATCTCCATCGCAACTGTTACAGAACACATCATCTACCTCACAAAGGATGGACACATCTCCATCGTAGCCGTTACAGAATACACAGGCTACAAATGATCACTAAAACAGACAGAGAAGAGAGCAGTGTGTCCACCTTATTTATACATAGAATTCGCCAGCAAAGGTCAAACACCACAACCACCACGCAGGCTATATATAGATAATGAGTTCACTAGCGCGCAAAATATAATTCCCGATAACTACGATAAATCATTTAAATTTATTTAATAATGCAACTTCGTTTGGTGCGTAATATTTTTCGATAAATGAAATCGTCCCAATTTAAGTATAGTGTAAAAAAAATATTCAGTTATAAAAGCGTTTGGGACTTCAGAATATAATTTAGTTTAGTTCATGGGCGTGAAAAAAACAGAAAAGTGTGCAGTGACGTAGCAAGGGGGATATAGCAAAAATTGGAATCATAAATGTGCGATACTTGAGTTCATGTTTTGTCAAGTAACTTTAGGAGAGGGGGAGTTCACGCATTGTCGTCGCCAATGTTTGGCGGGCTATAACTAGTGCAATATATTTGTTTTCAATTTTTTAGTATTTTTCTTTTTTTGGTCATTCATATTAGCCATGTTCCTTATCTAAGGCTGAGATATTGTATAATTTTTAGAAAAATAGAAGGTAGGTCCTCAAAATGGATGATTTCCACAATAAAAGCGTCGATGAGAAATAGGGAAAGAATTTTTTTTTTTTTAAATGTAAAGAAATGTTGTATTATCTTTTAAATTAAAAGCAATAGGACAGGCGTTCATTGTCGTGGACGAATAAAAACTTAATTTAAAAAAAACAATCTTGTTATGAGCAAAGATTTCTTATGCTGCAGCGAAATTTGATGAAATTTTTTTTCTCATTTCTTATGGCTCACGTCAGAAAAGAAACACGAATTCCGGCCACCGTTGGCGAACCTGAGGTCGGACCTAAAACAAAATTGACCTTGCCTATTCAAATTCTAGTATGACAGAGTACATCTGTGGAAAATAGCTGCTCTCGCTACGCATTTTAATGATTAGCTGCATGCGAAAGTACCGGTAGGTCATATTTTGTAGTTATAATCTTACGATTTGTTAAAATAAATGTCATGTTGTTTTTTTACTGCGAGCGGCAAGACAAGACAAGGAAAAACCATATGTTGCCCCTAAATACATTGTTCATTGGTTAAATCATATTAAAAAAAAATATATATATATTTTTTTTTTAAATCCGCAAATTAAACAGTTAAAGTGAAATATGCAGATGATGGCTGCCGGCCGTTGCGCCTGACCTCATACATTAGAACTTGATAGATGTACAGAAACACTGCGCGTCAGAATCCCTGGTCGTGCCTGCTCGGTGTGAACACCTATGGTGCGATTCCTGTGTCGGTGGATTCGCCATTGGGATCTTGGGGGCCTCGGCGCTAATCGCGCAGTGTGAACGTAGTCTTAGCCCAGCGGTTCTTAAGCTTCGTAATGCCGAGGCTCCTTTAATTCAGTTCCTGGTGTTGTGGGGGCAAAAAATATAGTTTCGTTGCTACTTCATGACTACGTGTTTTCGGATGGTCGTAGGCGATCCCCTGGTGTAAGGGTCGTTTGAATCCCAAAGGGGACGCCACCCACAGGCTGAGAATCGCTGCTTTAAAAAAAACGAAGATGTGTACCTGCAACAAAGACGCGCTGCGTTTAGGTAGCTTTCGAGTGCAAGGCTCTTCGTCTTATCCTGTTGTGACAGATTGTTTTCATGGGCGTTACGACAGTTATTCTGTCATGTTTATGTCGTGTCATGTCGAATCATATTCACTAATATTCATATATTACACTTTTTAATGTGTTGATCCTTTTTTGTTGTTGTTTTAATCTAGCAATTAATCCGGAATG